TGCGACAAAAAACATTAAAACTGAAGAAAAAACGCAAACTCTGAACACATTTTTTACATAGATTAAATTATTTTTTTGAAAAATAAACATTTATGTCTTTAAACCAAAAAAAGGCTACAAAACAAAAAAGTCTAAAATCGATTAGATTTTTATGAAAAAAACGCACCCGCAAGTAAGTCATATTCTGTTTATCAATAATTTTCTTTTGGATAACTTAATCAAACCGACATTAAAGTCAAATAAAAAATCATAGAAAAGAATCAAGTTCCCAAAACTATGCTCTAAAAAGATATAACTTAAAGCTACACATTACACAGTTAAGGTTATTGTTATCTAACTTTATCTGTTCTAATAGTATATTTAACATGTTTAGCCGCCAATTCTTTGTACATCTGTTTCGCTACTTAGCGATTTCCCTAAAGACCTAATATATGTACCGTGTGGTATTTCTCAGGATTGGATCTTAATACTCTCTTCTCTCAACGCTCTTCATAATAAAAAGGAAGATAGTAAGGTTCCGAACGTTTATTTCTCTGAGCCTTCAATCTAAACAAGTTTAATAAACCCACAGAAAAAGCTTTGAGTGAAAATCATACAATTATAACAAATAATCCACTCAGGCATTAAAAAACTGTGGCTAGGAACCAATAAACGAATACATAATCATCAATCATACTAGAATCAACCGATAAACATAGATATATATAAAATAATTACCACGGTGATCCCAGAATTCTGAACACGGAAAATACTTGCAAAACGAATAAACATATACTGAATATAAATATAACTACTACTCCGCGAGAAATCTTGCGTCTGCGCAGTCGGACTGTAAACAGTTCCTAAACTAGTTTTTTCACAATACATTCCGTACAGATCTTCAGGAGAAACTCAGAAATACGCAGGGGCGACAAACAGACTTTCTTCACGCAGCATGGCTCGCGTAACACTCGCCCAGCCAAGAGAAAACAAAAAAGTTCCTTTGCACCCCGCGACTTGACTCCTAGAAAACCTAAAATCACACAGATCTTTCAGAGTTTGGATCACTGAACCTCTCAAGGTTATCTAAAACATCCTGTCCTCCCAGGCAATATCCAACTCCAGATCTAACTCCTCCCGAGTCGAACCCCACCCTGACTCCTCAATCCTCTCATCATAGGTAGGAGTTCGCTCCACCACCTTCCTGGAAAACTGCAGAGCTGCACTCCTTCTTTTAGGAGATGTAACCCTCACTGGTAGCTCCTCCTCATCCTCCAGGAACACATCCTCCTCGTCCTCCAAGATCACAACCTCCTCCGACTCATCCTCCTCCAGAGGCCCGGAGGCACTCTCCCCGAACCCATTCCTACCTCTGGAAGAACCAGGAGAAGGCTGGGNCCGATCCATCCTCCTGCAGAGGCCCGGAGACACTCTCCCCGAACCCACTCCTACCTCTGGATGAACCAGGAGAAGGCTGGGACGGAGAGAGGCCAACTGGCTCCTCTGCATTAGACTCAGCTACACTCTCCCTTGAACTCTTCATCCTCATCCTCTTCTGCTTCCCCGGCTTGGAACTCTTCTTCCTCTTCACCCCAGACCTCACCTTGGGATTAGGTAGAGGAACTTCTTCTCTCCACCGAGTCCGTTCCTCGTACTCCCAGTCCTCAGAGAGCTTGGTCAGCCGATCAACTCTCATCCTCCTCACTCTCAACTCCTCCTCACACTTCCTCAAACCCTCAGACTCCTCTTCCAGCGACTGGAGAACTGCAAGTTTCAGCCTCTTCTCTGTAATCTCCACCACCGGAGCCTTCCTATCCATGATCCTCCGATAACAGAGACGCATGGCATCGTACAGGCCTCCGTAGAACTGCTGAAACCCAACGTTCTTCTCCATCCTCTCAAAGAACTTACACAGATCCTGGGGGTTCATCCTGGCCCATTCCAACAGAGACCATCTCTGACATCTCCCGATCCACGTACACTTCTCCCCTATCTCCTTACTCTTTACCTTCTCCATATCCAACACCAACAACGGGATCCTCAAACCCTTCAGCCTCTCCAAACCTCTGGAACTCTCTACAGGCCTTGACCAGACTTGCTTCTCCAGGTCTTCAAGCTCTAGCCCAAACCTGGCATACTCCTTCTCCTCCTTCCCAGGGGGGTCCAATCTCATCCCCCTGCTCCAAGTATAACCAACCTGGGCCAAGACATCCACCTGGACCAAAAACCACTCCCTCGCCTCCAGTAGATACCGACACCCTCCAGAAGTAGGAGCAGGCCATTTCCCTAAGATCTGAGTCCATAATCTGATCAAAGAGGGAGAGAACTCACACAACTTTTCCCTCTCATTCCTGTACCTCAGAGAAAGAACCATCTCCTCCCTCGTCTCAGCTTCCTCCTCTGCCTTCTGGTGATACTCCACTCCTTCCAGCGATACCAACAAGAACTCCAGGAACCAGTCCGCCGCGTCCTTCTGGTTGCATTTTATGTACTTACACAATATCTCAGGATCTGGAAAAACATCTCTCAGTAACAATCCTGCCAGAATATTGTAGGTCATGAACCCAAACTGGATGTCTCCTAACGCATAACACTTCAGGGACTCCGGGATCAACTGCCATCTCTCATCAAGTAGACTTTATACACGGAGCATGGCTCGCGTAACATATTGAAAACTAGCTGAAGGGCCCGGCGTTGCCCGTGGAAAATTTTTTTAATTTTTAAATTTAAATTTAAATTCTTTTTAATTTAAATTTTTTAATGTTTAAAAAACATATCGATTTTTTAGCCTATAACACTCCCCGATTTTGTACGATTCATATTGGGTTTTAAATCCAGATTTAAACTCGGTACACGTGATTATACATTTACATTCAATGTCGATGCTTTCTTATAAAAGATTTGTGTATACTGTGTGGTGGACACTAATTTCTCAAACAAACAGAAATTAAGTTACATATGAACTGCATACTAATTTTACATTCATTATTAAGGAGAAATTCATGCTTCATATATATATCTAAACTTATTATATATCCGTGTTATGATTGACATATTTATAAGACATAGATAAAATAATAAATATATTCAGGGAACTGATCTAGGTATTCAGTAGAGATCATGTTCTCTGTATATCTTCAGTTCTAACCTTTCTCAGTTTAGAATGGATGTGAAAGTTGGCAATTTGTCATATTGTACAAACTTTCAATTTATAGAGTGTAAATGAACAGTGGCGTGAATAAGGGGGGTTATTGGGGTTACTTACCCTCTTTGCAGTCTTTTACCCTTTTCATTAAATAAACTCTAGCAGACATAATAATATTATGGCTTTTGAAATTAGGTATTACAATGCTAATTCATAACAAAGACGATATCGAATTCGTCACTGAATTCCCATGTTTTTTGGGACACCCTGTATAAAGCTCTTCCGGGGGGGAGGGGGAATAAAATGTTAAAAGATCAAGGTTATTAAGAATTAAAAGTAAGACCTTTTCTTTTAATATAGTGAAATTAAAACATATACCTAATACATTGACGTCAAGAAAATTTTAAAAATTAGAAATTAGAATAAAAACAAAGACAATATTTGTTCAAAGTTTTGCAGAGTAGCTTTTCTAAAGATTAAAAAAGTTACATTTTTTTCTTAGAGTAAAACTATTTTTATGTTACTTAAAATAAATTCAGTTTTTTTACAGATCTTTGAAGTTAATCCAAAATGAATGACTATAATGAAGGATATAAAACAAGGTGAAAGCTAAAGGGTAGGAAATTGATTGCCTTTATTTGATGGAGTTTGTAAATGCCAGAAATGAGTGAAAAATGCAAATCAAACCGAACTAAAACCAATAAAAAAAATCGGCGCGACAGATATTGGGTTAAGTAACTCACGCTTTGTTAGATGGGTCCATTTAAACAAAGCTATACCCAGTACACAGTACAAGATAAAATGTATGTAACATCACTGGCACGACTTAGTGCTCTTGTAACTCCTCTAGTTTTAATTTTACATACAAGTATATGTTCTTAATATGAGACCCTGCCATTAAATAAGTAAGTATATTTGGATATTTTGGTTTCTATATCCCGAAAGTATTATTATAAAGAATACAAGAAAAAGATATTAGATTAATGTAATGACGGCCTAATGGTGTACACTACACATATATGAAATCATAAATTATACATTATATAAATATATTTTACTCTCTATAACCTTAATAAAAAGGTGCATGATAAATGCGATGGCAACAGCAAGGATTATGTAGATATGTAGAAGATTCTTATTTCTGTTTTCCGAGGCTTAAGTTATCTTTAATTAAGGAATATTAAAGTTAATTTGAGAGGCATTATAAGCTATCAATTTGCTCGGCGTTTAAAAACTTAAAATATTTTTTAAATACACGTTTTCATAAACAGACGTTTATCTTCAAGAAAAACTGTTCTTTGTATGACGAGTAAACAAACCCAGATATTATCATCAATCGTTTTATAACATTGATTTACTCATTCACCATACAATACGTCAACATACAGAGTTACCCACAAAGAATTAATTTTCGGAGACAACTTCACGGAATTGATTAGAGTTGGTTTTTTGTGGTTCACGATTCCCTGAAACTGTAAACTCATTTCTTTCTCAAACTAATCAATGTGTATACGCAATGAAATAGTCGAACATAAAAAGTTAAAGTAGTTTTTTAAAGTCTCAAATGTGTATTTGTATGCCAATTATGTCATAATTCCTAATTTTGACTAACCAATTTAATATTTCAAATCTTCTTATCAAAAGACAAAATAAAATTGTAAAATTGTGTACATAACAAATGATTTATCCAAAAAATTAAAAATGTTACTTAACCATGCGGGTTTCCCTTGACTAACTTTGCCTTTAAAACATCCAAAATATGTCTGGAAATCCGTCATTATGTAAATTTTCCTTTACTTCCCTGCAATAAAATTTTAAATAGTTATTATAATTTTGTATTTGCTTTTTTTCACATATAAAAAAATACAACAAATTGTATAAAACAATAATAAAATACTTTTTTTTTATTTCTCTCCTCCATCACTGGTTCTAGATTACTACCGAATAAAATACAGAAAACAAAAAAGGATTCAAAACTTCATCTGTTAGAACAAGGATTTAGCCTGAAACAAGAACAAATCAGGAAATGTTTCTCAAATAATTCAAACATGTTTAAATGTGACAAATTATACGTTTATTTTTGAATTTTCAACATCACGCCTTTGTTAAAACGAAACAACATACTTTTTGAATCAAAATGTAAAATAATAACAAAAAATTCGCGGATTTAAAAATATTTTTTGTGAATTTCAAAATCTAACAAAAAAAACAAACTTTTTTTGTAATTTTATGCGTCTATAAACCTTCCCTGGGGTCATGTGAGATCCCACACAAAATGTGGGGCCGATCGGTTCAGCTGTTTTGACGTTTATTGGATACAAACAAACAGGTAAGCAAAGCATATATATTTTTAACAATGTTTTCATAATTCTTTTATTTTGTAATGTTTGTTAAATTAAATTGGTACGAGGCATAGTTAATAATTTAAAATCTTCATCATTCATCTTTTTTCTCCTTTCTCCATCTGCGCGTTCACGGTTTTACTTTTCCTTGCCTTCCTTTGCGCTGCTTTTGAAAGAATGCTTACGGGTCGCTGTCTTTGCGAGATTATAAGACAGTGCAGGATCACCCTTTCATTGTATAGATGTACCCCTCTCCGTTTTTTTTGTTTTGCTTAATTGTAATTGCAGCCTCAGCGCTGAACATTCTGTGTACTTGCATTCTGTCATCACTTCTAGCACTTCAAGTTAGTTTTTATTTCCAGCGAGGGAGCAATAGATTCCCAGCTATGAACCGCACATTTTTGCTTTCATGTACAAGGAGGGTTGCTGTTCAACAAAGGATAATCAAGTGACCCGTTAAGAGGTAATTTTGTTGTAGGATTCAACAGAGAAATGTCCTCGAGTCTTATTTCGCTGCTTGTTAGAAGATTAGATGGTAGGTGGAAGAGAGTTGAAGATGAGGATAAGGGTTTGTAGGAGTGGCGTATCAGGAATGTTTCGTTAACATCATTTCATTTGTCCACATGTTGTATTGTTTCCCAGTCCAGTGGAATTACTTAGGTATCGCATTTAATATGCACTGCTGCATGCAGAATGCGGAGTTGTCCCCTTTTAACAGCTCTGCTCACTGCTCAGGGAGCAAGGAAAGGGCCCTTCCAGAAAGGGATCCGATCGCCAATTGGATTTGTATTAGACATAGAAGCTCTATGTTATTCCTATTTCTTGGCTTAGTACCCCGGCGTGGCTACTGTAGTTAAGAAGGAGGCTAGCTAATTGATCACGGGGTTCAGGGCCGCTTTGCCTTCCCTCCCTCCATATGTGCAGACACCTTTCTCAGCGTCCACTGCAAATAGTGCAGAGAGCTTTCTAGCAGAGCTCTGCTATCCTAGGCTGTAGAATGTAAAGTATATATATATAATATCTATATTTATAAAGTTGTAATCTCTGTTTGTTTGTTTGTCCGATCATAACTCATGAACCCCTTGACTGATTCGCTTTAAATTTTAATTAGGGAACTCGGTAGAACCACGGGAATGTTCTTAGCTTAGTTTAAAATTTTAAAATGAGTGGGCTCAATCTTACAAAGAAGGTTTTGTTCCCAGGCAAAGCTGGGATCCCAAACTAGTACTTTATAAAGTGACTTATGTGACGTTAGTGATGCTAGCAGTTGCTGTTAAAAGAAGACTACCTGTTGTTGTGAATTTGTGAGGCTATTTGAAGTCTGAGTCCCCAACTCTACGGAGCACCATCGCTGTTCTAGCAGGCAGATAAACCATCATGTGACATTTCCGACCATTATACTCCTAAATAAGAATTTTTATGTATTTATGGCCATATTTTTCCTTTTTTAATTGTATTCAAAATGTCATGCTATTTGGAATCAACAACGGAGAGAAAACCTCAATCTTATTTTAATTCACGATTCTGTTAATTTCATACATATACTAGCTTGGGAACCCAGCGCTGCCAAGGTTTCTAAAGTTACTCCCGCCATTTACTCACATTTTAACGATTTACCGTTATTAGACTCAACTTAGAATCTCAAAACTAAGCTAAGAACATTCCCGTGGGTCTCCTGAGTTTCCCAATAAAAAAACAGACAGACAAATAGAGATTACAACTTCATATATATATAGATATATACATACTAGGCTTTTAAGGTGCTTCGCGCCTATCTTCCATTTCATATGTAAAAATTATATCATTGAATACATTGTGAAACAAAAAAAATCGCAGATTTTATTAAAAGATTTCGTGGATTGTTAAAATTTAAAAAAATCTAATTTTGATAGAAGCAAATTTTTGAAAATTCGATCATCCACAAACCTTCCATGGGATCGCGCGAGGTATCAAACAAAATTAGGGCCCGATCGGTTCAGTCGTTTTATATATATATATATATATGATATATATATATATATCATATAAGACTCGGCTCAAATTCATTAAAATCGGACTCCTGTATCAAATATATATCACATATACAGTGTCTAAAAAAACGAGGAATAAGGGTCTACAGACTGGTTTGTAATCATTCAAATTTCAGGCTTGTAGATCTAAAAATAACAATTTTATAGGCTCCTAAAGGTTCCAACTGGAGTATGTAAATTTAGTAAAAATAAAGATACGTCCCGTTTTCACAATTTTGTAAAAGGGTCTTAAGACTTGTTTGTAATCGGACTTTTGAGATTGAGACCATTTGTTATATCTACGGACAATTTCCGATTGAATGAGCCCAATATTGTAGATCTAAAAATTACATTCGGAAATTGTATACGTAGATGTTAAAAAATGTCTTAATCTTAAAAATTCGATTAAAACGAGTCTGTATATATATATGTATATATATATATATATGTATATAGATATATACATACTAGGCTTTTATATATATATATATATATACTAGAAATTCAAGGCGCTTTGCGCCCTTCTTTCTAGCCTTAGAGGGCGCTTCGCGCCCATCTTCTAAATTAGTTGTGAACATGTTCTCTTTGTGTACATCGTAAAACTAAACAAAAATAATTCGCGGATTTTTACAAAAAATTTCGCGGATTTTCAAAATTTTTAAAAATTTAATGACGGTCGAATTTTGATAGAGACAAATGTTTGAAATTTTGATTTTTCATAAACATTCCCTGGGGTCCCTAGATGTCCCACAAAATATTTGGGCCCGATCGGTTCAGCCGTTTTGACGTTTATTGGACACAAACAAACAAACAAACAGACAAACAAACAGACAGACAAGCCAAATTTATATATAGATATAAGCAATTAAAATATACAAAGCATAACTGTTTAAGTTATATTATTTATAGTGATAATTCAGACCACTTATAATTTACCCATACAATCTAAAATGAACATAAAGTGCACTGAACTGAACCTGAGGAAAGCTATGTACTGGAACTGTAGCATCTCTTCTGTTGAGTCCGCCGAACTAAAAATAAAGGAACTGAACACTTGCCACAAATTCTAATTTTCTAATCCTTTTATCTTTACAACCTGATGTCAACGTTAGATATTTCAAATTACAAATTTTGTTGGACTAAGTTTAGGAATACCATCAGGTTGCATCAGTATTAGAAAGTCAGAGCTTGTAGTAAGTGTTCAGTTCCTTGGTGAGTTAATCGAGAGAAGTCAAATGTTATAAATTGAACGCTTTATCCTGATATCCAAAGTAGACACGTTTAAATTTGATGATCAACGCTTATCCTTCAATTCAAGTTTATACCATGCAGGGTAAGGGTTTGAAATTTTTCTGAAACAATTTTACAGAAGCAAAAAAGTATTCTACTAGGAATAAAAAGACATTTTAATAAAATATATTTTTCACAAAAATCAAAAATCAAAAAAATTCACTAGTTTAAGTGAAAATGAAATTTTGAAATACTTATTGAATTGGGTATCATTGGAACCGAATTGAAATTCTGAATTCAAATCAATTTACAGAATCGAAAATTATTGAAATTTGACTGAGTAAGGTCAAAAAAGACTTTTTTTACTACAATAATGAAATTTATTCAAAGAAAAAATCTATTTTTGACCATAACTTGCCCAATTTTCAATATTTTTCAATTCTGTTTTGAACTCCGGTTTTCAAGCTGGTTCAATGGATATCCATATTATTAAGATTGTCAAATTTTTCATTTTCGCTAACACAAGTGATTTTTTGAGGGGCACATTTTTGAATTTTGTGAAAAATGTATTTTAAAAACATGCCTTAGAATACCAAGTGGAATAAATACTATTTTGCTTCTATAAAATGATTTTAGAAAAGTTTCACTAAATTTCACACCCCTAATGCAGGGTATGCCCATCAATGCCCATCAAGGGATATCGAAGAGGAATACAATTAATTCGTAGATCTCCATAAGATTGAGATAAATCAAAAGATTTACAACACAAGTCCTGACTTTTGGTTTTTTATTAATATAGCCTAAATAATGTGATCACCCATATTAAATTGAGAAAGTATAAGTCACCTTTAAATTGTAAATTCCATTTTGATAAACATCGGCGAGTAAAAACACATATTTTCATACAATAAAATAGGGTATTTTAAAGAATAAATAGTAATTTTCTCAAAGCCATGGGAAACTTTATTATGATGTGAATCAAGTATATAAATGGGTTTCGACTTGAAAACGATTGTTTTTCGTTTAGAACATTTGATTAGGAAAAAGAAGGTTATAAAATCGTAATAACAAGTCTAATAGGATTTAAATAAAAATTAATAAAAGTGACTACCCCTAACGCAAAAACTTTTAATTTCATGAGATACTTAAAACGAGGAAAGTGGCAGAACTTATCAGAAATTGTTACTGTCCAGTGTCAAGTTTCTAAGCATAATTAGACTATTTAACCCCAAAAGTCAATTAAAACTAAATCCAGTTTCAAATATCTCAAGATGTAAACATTTACCTTCGCATCATCTGTATCAAGAGCAATCATGTATTTTCCAGATTCCCAAACCCCGACCTTGACAAAGAAAACAAATTTAAATCTCTTTTTTTGGGAGGCATGTTTTTTTTTTACCTTGTAATCTGGGAAAGATTTAGTGCAGTGGAAGTTAAAGCAGAATACTACTCCTGCTCTCTCAAATACAAGAACCTAGAAATAAAAATACCTTATTCACCTTCTTTGGTGGATTTTACCCTATCCTCCTGATGCTAGGTGTATTCTACCTTATCCTCCTGATGTTTGGTGTATTCTACCTTATTCTCCTGATGTTTGGTATATTCTACCTTATCCTCCTGATGTTTGGTGTATTCTACCTAATCCTCCTGATGTTTGGTGTATTCTACCTTATCCTCCTGATGTTGGTTTATTCTACCTTATCCTCCTGATGTTAGGTGTATTCTACCTTATCCTCCTGATGTTTGGTTTATTCTACCTTATCTTCCTGATGTTAGGTGTATTCTTCCTTATCCTCCTGATGTTAGGTGTATTCTACCTTATCCTCCTGATGTTTGCTGTATTCTACCTTATCCTCCTGATGTTTGGTGTATTCTACCTTATCCTCCTGATGTTTGGTTTATTCTACCTTATCCTCCTGATGTTGGGTGTGTTCTACCTTATCCTCCTGATGTTTGGTGTATTCTACCTTATCCTCCTGATGTTTGGTGTATTCTACCTTATCTTCCTGATGTTTGGTGTATTCTACCTTATCCTTCTGATGTTTGGTTTATTCTACCTTATCCTCCTGATGTTTGCTGTATTCTACCTTATCTTCCTGATGTTTGGTATATTCTACCTTATCCTCCTGATGTTTGGTGTATTCTACCTTATCCTTCTGATGTTTGGTTTATTCTACCTTATCCTCCTGATGTTTGGTTGACACGAATGCTGGATCTGCACTCAACCAACCACACTTCTCCTCCAGGTTATTCATTGCTCCATCAAATTCATTTAAGAACTTGTATCTGGAACAAAGGTTTATTAAATTTATTACGCCTCAAATGGAAAAGTGCTAGAATATCAAATAGCAAATATTTTAATGTTGAATTATGCAGTATAAACGCAGTCTACACTCTACTGGTATAGGTCCGGGCCAAATCATAACAATTGAATTGTACTGCATTGTTTGTATTAAAGCAAATTATACATATTGCTATTTATCATATGGATGCATTGGATAGAACAGAAAATTAATTGGTCTGAAGTATAAGAAGTGTAGAGCCGATGAAACATCACATTACATTTCTTGTAAAACATATTTAAAGGGACTGTAAAGGAAAAATGAAAGGGGGTGGCTGAAACCTAATCACTTTAGCTTTTGATCGCGACCCATGAAAGTTATATCTGATGTTCCTGTCTCGAGAAGTTGATAAAAAAAACTGTCAAAATTATACTAAAACTTTTATATGTAAGATTTGGTATAAGATTTTATACCAAGTTTTAAGCAGATCATATTCAGCAAATACGCAACCAATCTGAAAACGAAGATATCGCAGAGGAGCATGAACAACTCAGGTTTGCTCCCATTTTTAATAGATATAATTGATAATATATAATTGATATGGCCGTTTTACGTGACCAGAACTCCCATCAATAATACCGTTCTGCCATTAGTGGGAGTTCTGGTCACGTGATGCTAACGTATCAATTATATTATCAATTTTATCTATTAAAAATCTTACATATACAAGTTTCGGTATAATTTTGACACAGTTATTTATCTCGAGACAGGAACATCAGATAGAACTCTTATAGGTCTCGATCAACTCCTTAAGTTCTTAGGTTTCAGCCTATACACCAGTATTTGTATCGGTATTTGTATGAAATTTGGAAATTTTGAAATTTAAAAATGAAGTTTAGCATACAATTTGTTTTGCTAATTTCAGGATTTTTGATCATTTGGCCTTTGATATTCTGATAATCTTACTATTTCGTGACATTTCATAAACCTGAACGATCCATTGCCAAATTGTATTCCAAGGCATTCAAGAAAAGGATAATTCTTGTACGTTAATATCAACAACAACCCCACACAGTGTGGTATTAGGGGGGAGGGGTCAGCCAAAATGATTATATTCCATAAACCTCTTATTTATGTCAGATAAGGCTTGGCCGCTTAAGAATTTTTTAGAGAAGTCTTTAAGTTGTTTAAATGTTATCCCTTAGTTAAGAATTTCGACCGAAAACCCGCTATTTCATAGAAAATTCTTAAAATAGGATTTCTCAACACGTTACTCTGACTACATTAAGGTTTTGGGGTGCTGCTGGAGCCCCTAAATCTTTTAGCATCTATTTCTAGTTTAGATTATCCCTAAAACCCTGTGCTTTTGCTATAAAATATATGTTTTTCTTCCAAAAAGCTCGGTGTAACAAAGACGACATCTAAATATATTGCGGGATTGCAGGATCCATTCAAGGATAAATTTATGAGCGGGAAAAGTAATTATAAATTGAAATCATTAAAAATCGATGCAAGCTAAAATTCATACAATGTTTGTAAATGAAAAGATTATCAGAATATATTCATTTTGTCCATTCTCGTCATGAATACCAAGACAAATATGCATTTTAAGAGGAATATTGTGACAAAAACCCCCTCCCCCATGTCACCAGAAAATACTGTATTGCGTATCAGACAGTAATAGAAAGCATATTTTTTATTCAACATGAAGTACCGTATGCAAAGCATATATAATCATGTGGTATGGCAAGCC